AAGTATTTAGGTATAGCCTGACATAAGCATCTAAGTATTTAGGTATAGCCTGACATAAGCCTCTAAGTATTTAGGTATAGCCTAACATAAGCATCTAAGTATTTAAGTATAGCCTGACATAAGCATCTAAGTATTTAGGTATAGTCTGACATACAAGAATGTTCAGAACAAAGGAAAAGTGTATTTTTTTATGTAAAAGAGTAGCGTGAAAATATGATGTACTAAACCTGTTTTAACCAACATGTTGATAATAATTACCCAAATTAAACTTTAAATTATGTATTCTTACCTCTTTCAGGAACTCTGTGACATCATATACTTTATCGTTGATAATCAACCAGCAGTCATTCGGCATACAATGTTCATAAACATCCGCTAGGGTGTGCATTGGTATCTGGCAGGGGGCGTTGGTCACTCGCTCAAATATGGCAGCTTCCTCGACCAACCTCACTTTTCTCATAGCCAGTCGCACGATGTGTGTTAATGTGTCTTTCATACTAACTAGATTTCTAATTCCTAAGCAACAAAATTAAAACATTTTATTTAATATTATAAAAACTAGAATGTTCAATACTGAAGTTTTAGTGTCGGAATACACGTGTATAAAGCAAACAGTAAAATTTTAACATAATTACTCAATGGGTCAGCGGTGTGTTTACCGAACTACAACACTAAAATCCAGGGTTCAATTCCTAGTGGTGGCCAGAGCGCGGATAGCACATTGTGTAGATTTGGACAAAAACATCATGTTTGGTTTTTATCGCCCACAATCAATTCTTCTTCTCATAATGCCCATTTTTTAGATAAACAGTCTCAATACAGAGAAAACGGATGCATCCTTTTACCACTTGAAATGTATATATATATTGTAAAAATAACCGAAAAAAAAAGAACTTACATCAGGCAGTACAGTCATGTTAATAAGCTGTCAAACGGTGAGATAAGACATTCATACTCTTATTTGGGTAACAGACAATTTCAAGGCAGTGAACAATTCATCGAAATTCGAAAAATTGAGGTCCAAATGCTAGTACTGAAAAAAGGAAAATTTATTATTGAATTTATTTACAAACTACGAGCCAAGGTCGAAAAAATTCACGCCTACACTACTTTGTAATATGTGAAGTGTGGATATTACTAATACGTACAATATTGGTCGAGGTCAGGCATGTCAAATACGAATATTAAAGTCCACAAACGAACAACGTTTATATAATACATAATTAAAATCTTTATCGCAATCGATCAACGATTGTAAATGTCACTTCACAAGTTTCAACGTGATTTCACGTCATCTTAGGAGTGTGTGCTACATAAGTACAAAAGCCATGGTCATGTGACTACCAGTTTTCAATTCGAAAAAGAAGATCACGCCATCTACATACTTTCTGATTTACTAACCCTTCATTCTTATTTGAGATCACGTTGTTTTTGCTGTGTTTCATTATTTTAATGGTTTCTCTCATATTTCTAGCAGTTATATTATTTGGTTGAGCCCAAATAACCGTTTTTCTCCACTACATGATATGTCCAGTATAATTTACATGTTCAGCTAATTCACAGTTCACTTTTTAACATTTCCCTTATGTTCATTTATTCTAAATTTTTAATTTCTTTAGTTTGACCATGTATACATAACCACATTCACATTTAATTTTATAAATACCCGTTTTCTCATTAAATTGATTTAATATTTGACTAATTTTATTCAATAGTGTATAAATGTGAATGAGATTTTTGTCATTTTTTGAATTTATGAAAAATTTGACACGACAAACCTGGGACATATCGTAAAAAACAGCATTTCTTTTTAATCTAATTTATCAAATTTGATTTTAATTTCCTTTTTTCTGTTCAACATTTATTTTTAAATTTCCTCACGGCTCTATCAACAATGAGGTGAGAAGCCTCTTTCTAATGCTACATGTTTGATAAGTAACGGTTCATTTTTTAAATCTGATGAATTAGAACAGTTTTAAAGACCTATAAACACAAGAGTAAAAAGCTGACATTTTTTACGACCTTGTATGACATGATTCTTAGTGTGGCGGCATAACAACAGAAAAAGGTTTACGATAGACCGTGGTTTCTAATTTATTCTTGTTTTTCTTAAAAAGTACGTCCAAAATCATCCACTCTTAATGTTTATACATATGTATAATATTTGAAATTTTTATGGAAACGATGGAAAAAAATGGTATTAAAAAGCAATTACTAAAAGAATGCTACCCCTCTGTCGTGCGATAATCAACTATACTGAAGTTTACATTGTGGTTGGTTGTCATTCAACCAATCAAAAAAGTATTATATAAAGCCTATAAAGATATCAACAATCATACTATGACCAGTCATGTCTCTCACGGCTAAAACGTCGTAATTGAAGCCCATAAAAATCAATTTTCATTGGTCAAAATATTGTATGCGAAAAATTGCGGCAAAACACAATATTTCAGTAGGAGATGAATGGAATACATGAAACAGGACTGTTAAAAACAGAAATTGTCGAAGTCCAAAACAAGCTCTCCGAAAATAATGATGTATATCCTAGGCTAAGTTCTTGCTTTAAATATACGCATGGAACGTTAGGTAAGTGTTAGCATGAAGTGATCTTAGTGGACATATAGCTGCCCGAAAACCGCTGCTGGAAAGAGGTAGCCAATGGACATTGGACCACAAACAGTACAAAAAACAAACCTGAAACGATATACTCTTTATAGACGAGTCCGAGTTCTAGGTGTCCAGTAACAATTTGCTGGAAGGTATCGAGAAGAACAGTCGTAGTCAATGTACAACATCTACAGTGATGGAATAATGACTACAGACTCGCCATTTGGGGATTCATTTTCGAGCAAGCCAGTTATTCTAAGTATACAGTAAATATGGTAAAACGATATTGTGATTGCAGAGAAAACCCCAACCATGGGCTTGGCCTGCACAAAATTCCCATTGGGATTGTATGGGTTTATATAAAAACTGAGAAAGTCAAAAGGCAACCCGAAACGTTGGCTAGATTGTAGGGATTAATATAGAACATTTGGAGAACTATTTCACAACTGTATGGAAGAATGATAAACCAGTTGTAATATTACGTGTAAAGTAACGGACTCGCATACAAAATACTAATGGATTTTATAACCAATTCGCTGTTGCGTTTATATTATTGTCTGCGATGACGTTTGGTACCATTAACAAATAAACCACCTGGTTACTATTGTGACTTTTATATTAATCACTTGTATATTTCCATGGTTACTTCCATTGTTGTATATTTTATTTTTCATCTGTCAGGCTTGCGAATAGAAGTTACCCATAACATGACTGTGGGTGTGGCTTGTAACAACTAAGCTAAAACAATTTCGGCCGTTAGAATAAACAAAGTTAGTATGTAACATTACAAATAATCTAAATTCTGAATGTTGGTAACAAGAACTGCTATGAAATTATAACTAGTGTGATAAACTCTCAACAGATGGCAGGAGCGACATTCGCTATGAAACAAAGTATAATGCAATAGCGTTGGTTGGGCATATCGATATGTATACATAGATATATTTTCAAATATCGAAATTTCGAACAGTTTCAACATGTTGAAATGTTTCTTTTTTAACAAAAATCTCTAATTAGATTAGATACCTGCATAAATGTTTATATCCAACTTCTCAGTTTTATGTTCAAAGTATTTAAAGTTTATTTTTTGTTCTGTATATGATGTTTAATGAGAAATTATATACGTTTGCTTGTTATTCAGTGATTCTCATTCTCTATATAAGCTTTGCTTCAAAATTACCTTTCCCTCCACAAAAACAGCTAAAGCAAGAAAGAATGGTATCCTCGCCCCCAAGGCCAGGTGGTTAGGGCACTCGACTCGCAATCTGAGAGTCGCCGGTTCGAATCCCCGTCACACCAAACATGCTCGCCCTTTCAGCCGTGGGGGCGTTATAATGTGACGGTCAATCCCACCATTCGTTGGTAAAAGAGTAGCCCAAGAGTTGGCGGTGGGTGGTGATGACTAGCTGCCTTCCCTATAGTCTTACACTGCTAAATTAGGGACGGCTAGCGCAGATAGCCTTCGTGTAGCTTTGCGCGAAATTCAAAAACAAACAAACCCTCGCCCCAACCCCAACACCCACTTTTATTACTTACAAGTTTGTCCTCTTATGCATTACCTTAGTACTTTCTTACTTTAAAGAATAACTCTAACTTTTACTTGTAAATATTTATAAACAAAGCAGTGTAAACCAAACCACGTATGGTATTCCACCTGTGTTAGGCACACATCCAGTATTTACTCAACTCTCGGTGTTTTAACAATGAGTCTCAGAGTAAACCAAACCACGTATGGTATTCCACCTGTGTTAGGCACACATCCAGTATTTACTCAACCCTCGGTGTTTTAACAATGAGACTCAGAGTAAACCAAACCACGTATGGTAGGTATTCCACCTGTGTTAGGCACACATCGAGTATTTACTCAACTCTCGGTGTTTTAACAATGAGTCTCGGAGTAAACCAAACCACGTATGGTATTCCACCTGTGTTAGGCACACATCCAGTATTTACTCAACCCTCGGTGTTTTAACAATGAGACTCAGAGTAAACCAAACC